CTTTGTTTGACTTGTTTCATACTACAGTACACTATATTTGTTTATTTATTATACTCATACTATGTTATCTTATATTCTATGGTATGATCGTTTAACCTACAACAATGCATCACATTCTATAAGATCGATATATTTTTGTCCTGAGAGAAAATAGTCTGTTTTCAGCTTTGTGAAAATGCGTTTTCCAGCTGATCCAACAGGGTTTTTAAATAGCTATTCAGTTTAATAAGCAGGAGAATTTACTCCACCTGTAAAAGAAGACTCCATCCTTCAGTTTATCACAAATATCAACACATCTCGAGATGCGTGGTTTTCACTGGACAGGAATGTGATGTCATTCGTACTTTTACTTCAGTAAATGTTCTGAATACTTCCAAGTGAAAACCACAGACCACAGAAACCTTTTCTCTTCCTGCTCCTGCCAGACAAAGAGTAGGGAGCTGAACACACAGTGCAGGACTCCTCCTGGGGGAGGAGGAGGACAAGGTCCAGGCATTTCACTGATGGCACAGGGTATTAATCACATATGTGGGTAGAAACAGCCACTGGAAAAGTTTAGGTCATTGAACTTTACCATGTTATTCTCTCCAGAAGCAAGCGGCCTGTATGGAATGCCAAAAGCGTCACAATTGGTCTTAGTTTCCCCGACATTTGAAGTATTATTTATAAACGGCGCTTTAATCTCCACCGTTCATTTAGTTTAACTTTATTTACTTTATCTTGGTGAGTGTACTGCTGAGGACCAAAGGCAGAGCATTATCCGTAAAGTAGTTTGGATGAGCAGTTCTGGAGAAAGTTGAGACAAAACCAAAGCCCTGCAGTTTTAGACATCATGAACAATATGACTGACTATGTTATACTCAGAGCCATGTAGATAGAGGGTTAGGGTTAACAACCTCTTGTTATACCTACCTAATATTCATGTTTTAATAACCCTACACAGTGGTTAACTTCATGATTTAAAACACGTACATACCATATTGGAATTGGAGCCATGTTGGTAAAGAGAAGCCGTGCCTTCTAATGTGCGTGTCTTATCAGTTAAGGCAGGTTTGTCCACAATTAAAACCAATTAAGTTACAACAACAATATTCAAGCAGGTTTAGGTATAGGACATGTATTTGCGTCATGGCTTTCTGAACCTCTCCAAGGTCGGCTCGACACAGACCCACCTTTTGGTTTTAGATATTAATTTATTAATCAGGATTCCAAATTCATAGTTTAGTTTATTTTATAATTCTGAATCAATTAATTGGCTTCTTTAAGGGTGGTGCCCCGAGGAACTTTGATATGAATTGAAATTATTATTTTTTGTCTTCACCTACACAATTTGGTTCCTGTTTGAACCATTTTATAAATTTAATATAAACGGTGCCCCACGTGAAGTGAAACACTGTAAGCCCTCATAAGGTCACATTAGAGTTCTCTGTTGCTGTTTGCCATTCAAGTTGGTCACAGCCTACATTTTAGACAGGAACATCACATACTGTACATACACGTTGAATTGGCCTTAAACACTACACAAGGCAGAGGGGACTTTTTCTTTGCCCGCAACAAACACGTTCGCTTCTAGTTCTATTGATTCAATTATTAATCAGGATCCCAAATTAATAGTTTAGTGTATTTTATGAGACTCATTTTCTATTCTCTAAGGTTGGTGCCCCGAGGAACTAATATAATATTAATTGAAGCTGCTAGCAGTGACGGGCCCTCACACGCCACGCAACTCGGGGTGTGCTACGGCCACGTCACGTGCCGGTGTTCAGGGCGGGACTCTTATCAAACATGAAGTTTCATGGAGATTCGCGGCACCATGTACCACTGGAGCTTATGAAGACGTTGTTCAGGGTGCCGACTGCTTTACAGAATATATGGGAAGAAGTGGGGAATTGGACATTGGTAACACTCAAAGGGGTTGATACTATCTATTTCATGGCCGAACGGGCCACCTGGCGACGAGCGACTGCTTGCGCTGCATGACGATCACACAATAGCCACAACTGTTCATTCTGGCATTTTGTTTTGATTGCTACTTTTGGGGACAATTTTGCACGTTGCATCCGATAAATTCCCCGTAGGGAAAGAGTTTCTTTCAACTACACCCTCGCAAAAACATCACCTAAAAGTGGCCGCAAATACGAAAATGGCCGACTTCTACACAACTCACATGAACATATCTACGGGGGACTGAGCACAATACCTTATCTTTCGCCACGGGACCTGAATTTTTGGGGTGCAACAGTTTCATGGGGGAGTTTTTTCGGGGGCGTATGTTTGCCCCCCAAAAATTTCCTGTCCAAATGTTAACACAAACCGCTGATTTTCACCGGCGTCGGTCATGCAACGGGGTGTTCTTACGCGAACAACTAAGATTCCACCAGGATCGTGTCTCATTTGTCTCTATTAAGGATACTCGTACAGATAATCAAGCCGAAGAGTGCTGGGTCAAATCTTCCTGGAATGATCTCACATAAAAGCTCCACCACTAGGCTTGGCCGCTCCTCCCTACTCTACTGGAAGTATCATCCACAAGGTTTGTCAGGGCGGCGACCTCCTTATCAGAACACAGGTTAAAGTTTGCGAGCCCAAATGGACGAATGGTACCCACCCTTGGGTGTGTCCTCTTGCGCTACACTCTAAAATACTTGCACAACCACGGCCAAGAGACACCACTTTAACACAAACTCACCACAATCATGAACATATCATCAACAACCATCGCTTTTGCATTTTTCTGACAAAATTTTCAGCTTTTGATCTGATAAACGCTGGCCCTAGGGAGATAGAACTTGCGCACAGTATAAACCAATGGACACTTCCTTTTCAACCACTTAGGTTTTGGGGGCCGCGGGCGGGGCCCTCTCAGGTATTACCTGACGCTATTTATCACATTAGGACGTGTTAGGGCCGGCGAAGCTCGTTATGTAAAACATGTGAAGTTTCATTGAAATCGGATCATGTATGCAGAAGTTATGACAAATTCCTCTTTCGTGGCTGAGAGGCTTCAGTAGGGGGTCCCATTTGTGCCAAAGTGAACAATGCGCTCTGTGTTAGTGTTCCTCAACAGGGACAGGGGCGGTACTGGGTGTACAAGCAATGGCTACATCCCAAGACTCTTATTTGACATTTCCTTACTTAAACAGGACGTTGTTCTGGTCCGCCATCTTGCAGGCCGCCCCAACTCTCTGAGCGAGGATACACGAGAGCAGCCTTCAAGGAAGTCTTTTTACAGACAGACACACCCCTTTAATGGATATCAGTTATTGATTGGATGCTGAAGTTTTGCCGTTTAATATGATATATTACAGTCAGAGACAGTAGAGTCTGTCTGTCAGCAAGAAACACTTTTGACATTTATTGTCATTTCCATTCAGTCACAGTCTGATAAATCATTTCAGTTTTCCCTGAAACATTTAATCCAATAAATATTTCCCAATGTTTAAAAGACACCACGATCACATTCTGGGTTATTCAATAATGAATTTACAATCACAATATCAATTCTCTTCCTTCAGCACATAATGAACAAATAAATTGGGAGAAACTTCACCCTGATTCAGCCTCAATCCATCCGATATTAATCACAATGTTATCCTAACATCAACCAGCCCGTCAGATCGATCTCAGTGCTCATCACTATAATGCAGGTTGTTATTTATGTGCAGGTGTTTAACAGGTAACAGGCTGCTGCTCTGGCACTGATAGCTGTGTGTCTTTATTAATATTAGTGCGGTTCACCAAAAGTTAATGTAATGTTAACAGCTTACTTTACTAAAGAAGATCAGCTGCTCCTCCTGTGATCAGTGTCAGTTGAATGCAGTCAGACAGCAGTGTGAGGCAGAGAAAGCTGCCATCAGCTGCTCTACTTCTACTATCAGTCCACTAGATGGCCTCATGGAGCTGCAGCCCAGCACACACACAATGCATGGAGGAGCATTTACACTCACTGACACACACTGATTGTCAGTGCACTGCAATCAGAGATATAATCACTAACCCGAGCAGGTGAAACCACTTTACTGTTAAAGTTTCTGTTGATATAAAATTAGAGCAAGTGTATTATTAAACTTATCAGGTAGAAGTTTATAATTCTTGCTGTGATCCAAAAATGTCATTAAAATAAAAATTCCTAACTAAGAGGAAAAAAGTATTCACATGATTTTGTTGAGTAAAAGTACAGAAAAAGCCCTTTGCAGAATGACTCCTGTCACTGTTATATTGGATGCAGATTTTTGCTGTTGATGTAAAACATTGAAACTTTGTTCCATTACCTTCAGCTGGAGAATTAGATGGTAAACACAAACTGCGACACTCCTTCAGAGAAAGTGAAAGTAAACTTTAAAAAGGAAACACGTAGAGAGACGCGAGTGTGTGTGAAAGATAAATTTTATCTGTTATTAACATACAAAGTTGACCTCCGATAGCTGCAAGTTGAGTACATGTTTATTTGTAGTTACTCTGGTTCCAGAAAAACTGCTTTAGAGTGTTAATGTGGAAACTTAGTTTAAAAAGTTATTATATGGTTGTATGACACAAAACTGAGACACTTCACTCAGGTTCCAGATTGATGAAAATAATCTTTATTGGAGCTTCAGAAGAATACAGATGGTTTATTGTGGATATAATGAGCATTCATGGATGTGGAAGACATTTACAATATCAGTAAGGAATATTTGGGAAGGATTTTGTACAAAGCTCATTGATTCATTTAAATTCATTGATTGAAGACGTTGAAGACTCAACTCATCTGTTCAGCAGTGCAGGCACATGCACGGACATTTTAGGCAGGTGTTCAAAGAAAAAAGGGCATCCCTCTCCTAATTACGTAGAAAAAATAAAGCACTTACATATAAAACAGTCATACAGTTTAATACTCAACATATTTCTACAAAATGATCAATTCACACAGCACATTTAGCATTTACTATCTCTTCAAGAACTGTAGAGCAGACATTGTGCACGCTTTCTATAATATGAATACCTGTTCAAAATCAACAAATATTTACACAAAAATGTCTGAATAAATTAAATAATAAACCAACCAATCTACCCTTAAAAATACAAAGTCCAGTGTGTGACATTTAGGAGGATCTATTGTCAGAAATGTTGGAGTTCGGTCTAGACCTGCTTTATTTGAAAAGTGTCCTGAGATAACTTCTGTTATGAATTGGCGCTATACAAATAAAATTGAATTGAATTGAATTGATGTG